AGTACCTGCCCTGCTCATGGCCGGCCGGGCCCCTTTCAGCGCGCACAGGCGTTTTCCTCCGAAGGGGACGTACTGCTGGGACGAGGGCAGGCTCTCGGCCTTGAGGAGCTGCCGCCGGTGCTTGTCACGGAGGACCGAGTGCATCGCCTTCAGGAAATCCTTGCGGCTCTTGGGGGAGCTGTGGAGGTCACAGGTGTTAGGGAGACTGTCCCCGCACGGGGACTGCGAACGTCATCAGGAGCCGCCCAACAAGCCCTGAGGACCAGGGTTAGAGAGAGGCCTGCTCCAGTCTCCAAGTCTGACCCAGCTGTTTGCATGGCTGGGGCTCACCGCCCCCCAATTGAACAGCACAGCCACACCCCACCCTGCCCTCTCATCTGCATAGCCACGCCCACGCCCCGCCCCCTGTGTAGCACAGCTACGCCCCACTCCACCCTCTGATCTGCATAGCCACACCCCACCCTGCCCTCTGATCTGCATAGCCACACCCCGCCCCCTGTGCAGCACAGCCACGCCCCACTCCGCCCTCTGATCTGCACAGCCACACCCACATCCCGCCCCTGTGCAGCACAGCCACACCCCACCTGCCCTCTGATCTGCCTAGCCACACCCACATCCCACCCCCTAAATAGCAAACTCCGCCCTCTGATCTACATAGCCACACCCACATCCCCCATCCCCTGTGCAGCACAGCCACACCCCACTCCGCCCTCTGATCTGCATAGCCACACCCACATCCCGCCCCCTGTGCAGCACAGCCACACCCCACTCCGCCCTCTGATCTGCATAGCCACACCCACACCCCACCCCCTAAACAGCAAACTCCGCCCTCTGATCTGCATAGCTATACACATGCCCACCCCCCAAGCAGGGCAGCCACACCCACACCCGCCCTCTGATCTGCATAGCCACGCCCGTGCCACGCCCCTGGGCGGTGATGCCACGCCCACACCCGCCCTCCGCGCACAGGGCTCACCCGCAGCACAGGTGGAACACCCGCTCCGGCCTCCCTTCTGACTCGGACTTGACGTGGACGATCTCACACGCGGTGCTGGCGTCGGCATCTGGAGGGTAAAGGCGCCGGTGAGGGTGCGTCTAGGGCTGGTTGGCGTCTTTGTGAACGTTTCCCGGCTCAGGAGCGACGGCACAGAGCAGAGCCGCTGAGACTCAGGGCTCACCACCGACCGCGACCAGAGCCGGGGTCAGGCTCAGGAGGGCGGAGACAGGGGGCCTGGAGGACTGCGAACCCCCCTAGACGGTCGGGAAGGGCCGTCGGCCCATCCCACTGGCTGAGAACTGGCCTCCAGCTGCAGGCAGGTCTGGCTGAACCGTTTCATTTAAGTGACTGGTTGTCTGGCATCAGCTGGACGAGGCCAAGCCTGGATCCCGTGACGATCTCCCAGGCCTCGCTCTGTGTGTGGGGCTGGGGGTGGGGGGGGTGGG